ATAAGATAAATTTATCTATATGTAAAACGATTACTTGAAAAATAACGAATCCTAAGAAATCTAGATATATTTTATTGAATTTATATAGAATGTTAACTATTTCAAATCTATGTATCGAGATTTTTATTTTATTCATAGTTGAAAGGCAACCAAGATCATTTAAATAAATTATTTTCCCTGTCAATTAAAGAGGAACGTTAAATAAGAATTTTCTAGGATAATCCACAACAATATAATCGAAATTGAATTTTCATTTAATTAACATTAAATAATCTAGTTCTGATTATATTTTTTTGTTATCATTAAATAAATATAATAATTGAAAAGAAAAATTTATATTTAAACTCTATTAACGATAATTATCGAATATATTATAAATAATAAACAAATCTGAAATATCAATCATAAAAAGTCAATTGTTATTGACGAATATTGATCATCGTTATGTCAGTACTTAGACAATATTCAATCGTCATACCGACGAGCACCAACTGATAAACTAAATTTATTAAATTAAGTATAACATAAGATGGGGGTGACAAATTTGACTGGTACCCACTTTTGAATAGAGCCCTATTCTAAGGATAAAACCTACTATTGTCCGGATCATATAAGAGATGATCTTACACAACCCTAGATTGGCTCGAACAACACCATGTTTTATCCTTAGAATAGTAAAGAAAAGCTACCAGCTCACACAATGGGGACTAGTAGTTATTCTCTACTATTGTAAGTATAAAACATGGTGTTGTTCGGTCCAATCTAGGGTTATGTAGGATCATCTCTTATATGAGTCGGACAATAGTAGATTTTATCCTTAGAATAGGGATCTATCAAAACTGGGTACCAGTCAAATATTTGTTTTTCTTTTGTTTTTTTTTTCTAATTTTCTGTTGATGTTGAGAAAGACTGCAAAACAATAAGAATAAATGTGACTCTTGTTTACATTCGATTGAATTGGGGAAAGGTTAAAAGTAAAGTAATTAATAAATTGATAGCCTTTTCTATTGAATTTAGATTTTCAAATAAAATAAAACAATCTTCAGGATTTAAAAAAGATAATAAAATAGAAGGATTTTTTCGAATTGATCTTAGAAGATGAAGCTATTTGACGATAGAACTTCATGTTAATGATGAATATGCTTTTTTCTTAGAATAGAAGATCATTCAGTTCTCTAAACAAACAAAAACAAATTTCTAATTAAATAAATCTTATCTTTGCTCGTTTTTTTATAAAAACCTTTTTTCATCGGAAATTATTTGAAGAAGATAAAAACTTTCTTGAAAAAGATCTATTGAAAACTTATTCTTTTTCATTGTTTGAATAAATTCTTGATATTAATCAAATGAAAATTGTCACATAAATAAACAAGTTAAGATCTCAAATCGATATCTCTTATATTATTGAAGAAATTTTATTAAAACGTTGATTAACAAATGAGATTGTTATTCGAATGTTCTCGAGATAAATTAACGAATAAGAACGACGATGTTGATTGATTGATTCTAATTATTTATTTATTTATCATTTAGCTGAAAGATTTTTTTTTTCACGTAAAATATGTTGACACTAGAAATAATCGAATGAATCGTTTTCAGTTGATCAAGATTTACATCTGGACATTTGTATTGATCGATAAAATAAAAATAAAATCTTAGTCTTATTAATTTCGAGAAACTTTTTTCAAATTTATTTTCATAATAATCCCTTAAAAAATAAATTGACGAGTAAAATCGAAATCTATTGAAACAATTCTTCGTCAGTTTTTACTTGAGCAACGTTTTATTATTTGTAATTTATCTATTTTAAAATATTTCTCAATCATTCAAATTCAAATACTGTGCATTGACGGACAGATCATTTTTAAGATTGAGAAACAAACAGTGGACAGAGCTTTTCATAGTGAACAAATTTGTGTTAACATATGAAAAAAAGAATCTGATCCCTATTATTTGACATTGATTATTATCAAGAATATCATCATACAAGATTTTCTTCTAACTATTGATCATTTTTCGTTGATATCATCTCTCATAGAATAACAATCGTTTTCAATGATATTTTTCTTTAGAGGAATAAAAATTCCAGATTGACTCCACTTTTTTTTTGTCAAAGATTATAAAATTGTATTGATGAGAGCAAGAATAAGTTCTTCTGATGGAAGAAAAATTCGAATTTAATAAGAATAAATTCTTTAAAAACATGTTTATATATTGTGAATAAGCTTTTATTAAATTCTCGTCAATATATTTACGAAGACAATTCAAAGCAAAACTTAATTCTTCAATTAATTATTCTTGTTGACGACAATCAGGGCTGCCAACCGCACCCCATTTCGAAATTTTGTACCCTACAAGAATGACCAATAGATTTCTACATCTGTTTTGTTCAGTGTCGGATTGAAATAGTTGGTTGTTCATACTATTATCGTTATAAACACCGAAATAAGACTTAAACATTTCTCCTTGATTTCTCCGTGTTTCATTCATTTTTCTTTTTTATTTGTCAAATAAATATTCTATTATATATATCTCTAATTACAGATTTTCTCTTTAATAAATTTCATGGTAATTTTCGTTGTCTATTTATAATCTTATTTTCCAATTTCGAACTCAACAATCAATTAACACAAAACTAATTGAAAGAGTGTAAATAGTTAAGCCTATCTAATTGAAAAAGAACAGTGAAATATGATTCTGTTCTCTACAAAAGCAATGTCGTTTCAGCAGGTTTCTCAATAAAATACTTTACTTCAGGAGTAAAATCATGTACCCGATTGATGTACCCATTTTTAAACTGGAATCTAGCCCAAATCTACCCCATTTAAAAAATGATAAATGGTACCCCTGACGACAATCTTCTTATGTTTTAAGAAGATTTATCAAAATTTATCTCGCTAGGAAGAGAAATGATGAAAAAGAAGATTTTCTTTAACATGAAGGTATTCATTAGATAGTATTGATCAAATATTTTTGCAGATTTGTTCAATTGAAATTTATTCATTTGAAGGATTTTCTCCGGTTTTTCATTCGAAGAGTGAGAATGTCTCTGAGTAGGTATTAGAATTTTATATTCGATACCAACATACACACTCAGATAAATATACCATAAATATATGGTTGATAACGAAGAAGATTCATACTATCTATCATAGGAAAACGACCACGAAATTAATTAGAAGAGAGAAGTAACCTTGTTTTTTTTTCCAAGATTAACAAAGAAACAACTCGACCACACTATTAAACACTCCATTTCGATAGATTGCAGCAGTTTATAACACAACATAAATTATATAACAAAGGATAATAGAAGATCAAAGACTTTATTCGTCTTATTAAATTATCAAAGGTTTAAAATCATCTAGTCTTATTATATAAAAGTCTGATCAGTTTTCATTTTGAACCATTGAGAGGGTTGCGCGTTTCATTTCTATAGGGCTTTCGGTACTTTTACAGTGTAATGCCCCAACTAGTGTTTATAACGGAAATCTAAAATAAAATGTACAGTGTTTACGCTGGATATTATTAAAAAATGGGAAAAACATCTTCATATCTGTTTTACTGAGTAAAATAATCGAGAATAATAATAGGTACGTAAATAGAAATGAAGGAAAAATCAATATCTATATGATTGATTTAGGATGATTGACTACACGAAAGTATAGGATTAGGAAAGTACATAACCATAATATGATCTTTATTTATTATTTTTCAAAAGTGAAAGTAACCAGAAAACATATGAAAAGTGTCATGCTCCTCTTCATCATTATGGAAATGAGTATGATTCTAATAAATCTAAGTTGAATATTGTTATTTTGGATTTTTTTTTTCTGCAGTTATCACATCATTATCCGGAACGAGTTAATAGAAATCTGAAAAGAAAATAAGTGACGAATGGAAAGGATCTCAGTCATTGAATAGAAAAAATGAAAAATAGATCAGAATCGGATCATCGTTTAAATAGAATTTTTCAGTTATAAAGACATTTTGAATCTCACGTTGCAAAGTCTACAATGTAGATTCTGCTTTTTAAGACAAGTTTAAAGCAGCGTATATTTTCAAATCTGAAAATGTTTCTACATTTCGCTTTTGTTGTGTAGACTTGACATAAGAAATTCTGTTAATGATAAATAAATATCGTTGTTTTTAAATGATTCCTATTGTTGGACAAGTTCATTTGACAGTCTGACATTGATCGACATCTATTCAATCATTTTTTAATTCGATCTTTTTTTTTTTCGTTGTCTTGAACAAAAGATGAGATAAGATTCATTTCTCGAGATATTTAACAGATATAAAAACAAAAAAAAAGTTTTTTGTCTTTATAAGTTTACTGGTATAATCATTCTTCTTTATTTGCCCATATTAATCTATACAACTGCTAACCGATGGGTTTTATTTATCAGGTAGTAACGAATATATTTTCAATCATTTATCTAAACTTAGTTAATTATTAACTATTGATTGTTTCCTCTTTCGCTATATATTCGTTATCGTCAGATATTTTTAGATATATTTTCCGTGTTTTTTTTTTTGCTTTTGTTTTGTCTTGTAAAATGAATGGTGGTGTTGGTGCATTAAATCATTTAAATCAAGAAGTATAAATAATCACGTTAATAAAAAAAAAATTCGATAACTAAGATGATGCATGATCTCCTAACAGAAAAAACAAAAAAAATATTTTATTTTAGTTCGTTTCATTTGTGATATTTGTTATGGCATGCACTTATTTTTCTTTTATCATTTAATTAATTAAATATAATTTTCACTTTTTTCAGAATATTCCATCAGGAGCTAATTCTCATCAACATCATGTTATTGCAATTACTCGAAATTTTCGACGAGTTCATCGTCGACAAATAACTAATATTCGAACGGATAATATTAATCAAATAAATCAATTAAATGTAGAACTCTCCCAAGAACGATTCAACAATATTCAAACAATAGTTGATTTTATGATTCAACAAATTGAATATAATCAAACTATTGAAACAATTACCAGACATAATCAAGTTGAACAAATTGAACATAATGAAATAATTGAAACAATGAGAAGAGAATATCAAGTTGAACAAGTTATTGATCGTATTATTAAACGTATCGAAAACAATGAAAAAGTAAGGTGATATTGTCAAACTCCGAGATTTTTTCTAAAATAATTTAAGTCAAAAGAAGTTTAACTAGACATTATAGGTTCTTTTTTCCAGAGTAATCAAGAGTAAACCTATATGTTTAAGTCTTCCTCAACCAATTGAGGTCAATAAGTAGAAGAGTTCTGCGAAGAGCCTAGACGAATGACAAGAAAATATTTGAATAACAATAGAGATTTCGATTTTTTTTTCCATCTGTCAGATTGTCCTTCAAACTCGGATTGACTATAACAGATAAATGAATGTCTTAAACGGCACAGTTCATCATTTTTAACTTAATTGAGTAATTCTGTTAGAGATCTAATAGAGTCGATATCCAACCAACATACCTATGTAACAAATTATCGTTTAATTGACGATTTAACAAAAATTAACATTACCTTTTTATCCGTAAAAATCCATAAAAATTTGCTTTGTAACGAAGTTTCATCCGTTTTTCTTCGTTTTTCAGGTGTTCACGTTGAATAGCGCATGAAAGTCCGTTGAAAAGCAAATATTTAATGCGTTTTTACGGACGAAAATTTGTTAGATGGGATAGAAAATCTCAACTAATTATACTCTATCATATTGATGTAAATCAATAGGAGTATTAGAAGATTTCCTAATATATAGAAATGAGTACGTTGAGATATGATAAATAATTCAATCAATCCATAGAGAAAGATAATGCTCAAGCTAAATCAACAAAAGAAACTAATCGGAAAATAATGATCAAGCACATAGAAACAAAGTTCATCTCTCATCTTCAATAATCAAAAAAAAAGTCACATCCTGCATATAGAAATGAGTAATATCCAAGGTTTGTTTAACGATTAATTAATATAATTAATTAACTATTATCCATTATGATAAATGATGTTGACTATTTTCTATAACTCTAATATAGTCGATGATCTTATGTCAGTTTGAGATTTGGCCCTATTAATATATGCACTAAGAACATTTTTGTTTTTCACGGAAGGTTTATTATTTCTTTTTAGAATTCAAACATATTTATCGAAAATAAGAATGATCACTTTATCAAGGTAGTTTGAAAAAGAGAAGATCTATCTTATATTCTATTATTATTTGATTATTTTTCTAGATAATTATAGCTATAGTGGTTATTATAATGGCTATAGCTTTCTATCATTTCTATTAACAAAAGTCATTTAAATAATTAAATTCGCCGTTATGATTAAAACGTGAATTTTATTTAATATATATATATATATATACATATAATGATTAATTCCATTGAAAATCCATTTAATTAGAATGAAAAAAAATGATGAAAAGAAATAATTTTGTTAAAATTGTAGAGAAAGAAATTTTTGTTTTCGTAAAACAAATTAATTTGATTTAAATGTTAAAATGATTTTCATTGAAATATTTTTTGTTATTGTGATGATATATTGTAGTGAAGAATCATCTATTAATATCATATATGATCAACATCATTTTAAAATCTTTTATAAATACGAAAAATTCCTCGATATCGTTATCTATTATATCGATCAATCTTATCCTTTAACATTATTTTACAATTTTCTCAATTATTTCATCAATCTACTAATGATTTTCTTAGATTTTTTTTTTTCATATGAAACTCGAAGTGTACAAAAGCTTATCTGATGTTATGTCGTATTCATCAATGATCAATCACAGATGCAAATGAATTAGCTAAACAATTTATATTTGTTTGTTCTAGAAGAAAAACAAGATATTTAATGATTAAATCTAATGTAAATATGTAGGTAAAAGAACAACCAATTATAAAAAATGTCTTTCAATTGTCTATTGGTTGTCAAAGATGAATATTATTCAATGTATATCTATTAGAAAATTGTTACTATCTTTGTTAAGAATGTAAAACGTTTTTTTGTTTATATTGATTAATATAATAAAAATAAATAATGTCTTAGAAATCGAAGAAGAGAGAAATATCAATCGTTACGTAACTGTTTGAAATAAATTTGTTTGAATTTCATTTTCTAGAATGCACTTCTTTTTCATAGAAAAAAATCAATATGTCTTCAAATATTTTTCATGATAAAAATTTTTTTCTTTTTTTGTTGTTAAATGATAAAATATAAAATGAAGAATATAATAGGATGATTAAAGCATTATTTTCAAATTTTTTTCGAGATACATTTACATTTATCAAGCAACTATAGGGAAAGATTTTCATTGCCATTATCATTGAAACAAGTATATTTTATGTGTTTGTTTCGATGTTTATTTTATTTTTATAATTAAAATTTGTCATTAATATTATTGTTGAATTACTTTCACTCTTTCTAACTCTGTTATATATTGAATTATTTCGACGTATTCTGTCTCGCCAAAAGCCAATATAAGACCATCGTTTAGAAATGTAAATGTGATTTCAAAATGAAATAAGATCTTTTATATTTGCTTGTTTTTATGTGAAAATATCGTTAATGAAAAGCACAAGAATAATGTTAAATCTGAGATGAGATTTTCATGGTGGTGGATATTGATTGATTATGATTTATGTGTCATCTTAGTTGTAATTTCAATAGTTTTTATCTTTGTTCGTTGAATTAAGGGAGATATAAAAACTGAAAAATAGTTAATATCAATTCTAACCGGATTTTTCTCATCAATTTTTTGAAATCAACTATTAGAAGTAAAATTCTTTTTTTTTCTATTCAGTTGAGTTTTCTTTGTCGAAAATGAGATGATGATAAAGAAAGGAAATGAATAATTGGATGATAATGAATTCAAGTTTAAAGAAGATGAAGAATATTTCCGTTTAACTGAACGTTTGTTTTTGATTTCGTTTATAAATTCAAAAAATAAAACTAATCAATATTATAGAATAAATCTTTCTCTACTTATCAGCCTCGAGTACTAACAAATCGTTTAAATCTATCTTAAATTGTTTGTGTTTCTCATCGATGTTTAAAAGAAATTCATATATGGTCGATTATTCGAGAACCATTCACTTATGTTTGTTTTATTTCATTTGTTTTTTTTTGTTCACGAATTCAAATTACCAGTCAAAATCCATTTCTTCAATACAAGTGAAATTTATTGTAACAATATTGAAGACTGGACGAGCAATAACGATCAAATCGATGTAGTACTTATTCATACACAAAGATGAATTCTTTTTCAAAAAAATCCTAATCAATTTATGGAACAAACATCTCTTCTTATCGGTATGCATTACGTAATGGATAAGATTGAACGTTAACAATACCTACGCGATAATATATACATATGATGTCTTCTGTCAATTTTCTCGGACACTCAATTAAGTCCTAGTATAGGAGATATTGGACATATAGGAACAGGATGGTGGATTGATCTTTGATCTATGATCTTTTCCTAGGGAATATACACGAACCAGTATTAACCAGTAGGCTTTTTATTATAGAAGGTCTAAATGATATATATATACTCTCTTTCTCTCGAAAAAACCAACAATCATTCCTAAGATATAAATCGGTCTTAATAAAATGACAGCGGTCACGCTACGACAAGGCACTCATTACACATATATGGAAAACTTTAAACTTCAATTCAATTGAGTTCTCAACTTTCAAGCTCCTAGGAGTTTCGACAGGAGCAGCTCACGTACAAATTCACACACACATCATTGAAGCTGGTGTGGGTGTCGTCAAAGAATTGGCCAGAAAAGGACTTGTCACACTGCGACACACGTCACATGGCAGTTGGTGTGGGTGTCGTCAACGTAGATGTTAATCCTGAAACTTGGTTTCAAGTGAGCTTTCTAATTTCAACTTTCAAGTATCAAATTTTCGAATTTCATTCAGAGAGCGACATATCCTGCATATGTCTCGATGTGGATGCCACGAAGGAACTCATAGAGTGTCTCTGCCAAGTTCATTCATGTGAAGGCTGAAAGTTGAAGTGAACTATTCACTAATTCCATGAATAATGACTGAATGATAAGAACTTTTCCCTATAGAACTGACCTTTTATATGAGAGGCACGACACATATGATGTCTTCGGAGAGTTTGCGCGGAAACTCAGTTAAAGATCGACGGAGAAGATATTCAACATAGAGATGCAGGACATAGGAGAGGTAGGAGAGATATTGGATATATAAAAGAGCTAGAAGATATAGAATATATTGATTAACTAGTGGAGATAATCTTTGTATAGCGCTTGACTTTAAATAGTGATCCATTACAGATACATTCATTTAACGTTTCGGACGGTTACTCGAAAAAATCAATCATAAAAGATAAAGAGCTGCTTACTATGCCTTCTACATCTCTATATGTTCAATATATTGAATATCTTCTCGGTCAATGTTTAATTGAGTTTCCACGGAGGCTTTCCGAATAGATTTAATAAATAAAAAAGTAATAAATCTGAAATGTTATTATAAATAATAAAATAATCTCGATTAAAATGTCAACGTAATTTAATCTTTGTAAAGGTCTAACAATAGAAAAAAAATCGTTTGAATAATAATATAAATTTAAAAAGTTAAAGGTTGAATTGTATCTATGAGAATAATTTAAATAAAATAAAATCCATTTCTAAATAAGTTCTTCGAATATATCCTAGATTAGAATCCGAATAAAATAAATATATTGAATTAACTAAGATTATTCGATAATGATTATATTATCGAACTAATCATTCTAGATAACCTATTTTATATCCTTTTATTTAAAACTGTTGATTGTTTAGAATTTAAATTGATTCGATAGATTTTATTATCAATATATTATATTTTATCGTTTATAATAATATGTTTAGATTTTTTAATTTCATCAAAAGCACGAGATACTATTTATTGAATTTGTTGATCAAGATCAATTCTGTTAAAATTAGATTTATTTTATATACCAATTAATGTTAAATAATACTTTCGAAATAAATATATAATCGATTGTTTAGATTTAGAAAAAAAAACATGAAACAAACATAGGATTTGTTCAATAATAACTAGATCCATCAAGATATTTTTTTATAATCGAATCAAGGTTTACATATTACAAGAAGATTATTATAAAAGAAAAATCTCATCTATATATAAGTTGAA